AGTCGACCACGCCCCTTGGGCCAGGCAGCTAGCCACTCCGACAGCGAGCCACAGGGATCGGCAGCTCCAGCAGGCGCTGGTGCAACTTGACACCGTGGATTTGCTCCAGACACTCCAGCGCCGTGCTTGCACTTTGCAGTTCGTTCCCCCTTTTGTCCGCGGTCCCCGTGCGTCACGCCCTGGCCTTTGCTTTGTCAGCCATCCTCGACGCCCACGAGGAGCGATCCATGCGAGCCTGGAAGCTGTGGTTCTTGTTGCCACGCATGCCCTGGTGTTCGGAAGCTGCCCAAGCATGGGTGGATTGCACGCCTCGCGGCGTTTAATGAGGGGAGTGGACCCAACTCCTGGAAGAAGCCCAGCGAGCCGGCCCGTGCCGCCCCAGCGCGCACGCCATATTGTGCACCTTGGAGAACTGTCCGCGGCACGACAGGCGCTGACGTCTAGTGCGCTGGCCCCAGGCACCCCCGAGACTTTGCAGGAGCTGAGCCGTATGAGGCGCTTTCCCACGAGGTGTTGGATTTCCAACCTGACCAGGTCCACCTCCTCCCCGAATTGGTGCTTTCAAACCTCCAGCGCGCGCGAAAGGGAGCTGCCCCAGGACCCTCGGGCCGCACGGCTGAGGTTTGCTCCTTGACGATGAGGGGGCTTCTGATCTGTTCGCCCGCGTGACGCAACTCGTTGCGCAGGCGGCGGTGCCCAGAGATGCGGCAAGGGCACTCGGCCTCGGGCTTGGTCGCTCTCCAAAAACCAAACGGCCGAGTCCGGGGCATCGTGATCGGCGACTTCACCCGCCGTTTGGTTGCGCGGTGCTTTGCCCAGCAGAAGGCGGAGGCTTTCCTCCCTTTCAGTTTGTCCACGCGATCTGGTGCGGAGCGTGTTGTTCGTTTGCTGACGGCCGCCCTCGAGCTTGATCCTGAAAGCACTCTTGTCTCCGTTGATGGGGTCGGTGCGTTTGACACCATGAGCCGCCAAGCGATGCTGCAGGGGCTTCTCCGTGTCCCGGGGGCGAACCAGTGCCTCCCTTTGCGCGCATCATACAGCAAGCGGAAGGGGGGGACCCGCTCTCTACTCCCTCGGCCAGCACGGTGCCTTGGAAGCAGTGCACGCTCAAATGCAGCCCAACGAGTTGCTCGTGGCCTTCCTTGACGATGTGATCACCATTGCCCAGCCGGAACCTTGCAGATGAGCTCTGGGCGCGTGCCGAGTGCGTCTCAACAGTGGCAAGGCACGCATTTGGAACTTGTCCGGACGCGTGCCACCCGCCCTCGGCCAGCCAGGTGCGCCGGAGGCCTCCTGTTGGGTTGGCGCCGGCGGCCGGCCAGTGGCTCACAGTGCTCGGTGTCCCTGTCGGAGCGGCGGCCGTTCCCAGCTTCGCCAGTCCCGTGCGGGGCAGGACCGGTTGCTGGAGCGTCTGCCGGCACTAGGTGATTTGCAGGCTTCTTGGTTGCTCCTTCTCTTTTGCTGCAGTCCGCGTTGCAACTATTTGCTTCGCATGCTCGCCCCGGCGACCACTGCCGAGTATGCGCAAGACCATGATTCAGCCGTGTTGTCTGCCCTTTCTACCTTGCTACCTGCCGCGACATGCCCGTGACGTTGCCCAGTTGCCCCTGTCCCTTGCTCGACAGCCCCGACCCACAGCCAGCTTGCTTTGCGGCGGCTGCCGCAGCACGTGCAGCACTCGGCCACTCCCCGGCGTGGCGGGAGCTGTCTGCTGGTGAGAGCGCGCCCGTTGTGCAGGAGGAGGGGCCTTCCACCTTCCTTCGTGGCTGGGCCACGCTGCAGCCGCCGAGGCCCGTCGGCATCGTGAGACCTTGCTGGCAGGCGCCGATCCTGCTGCCCAAGCGCTCTTGCACTCCCAGTCCGGGCCTTTCGCTAGCCGTTTCTTCAATACAGTGCCAGTCTCATCAGCCTTGTCCTATCCCTGCCATCTCTTCCGTGTTCTCCTCCTGCGCCGCCTGCGCCTCCCCTTGCCTCTTGCTGAGCGCACCTGCCGGTGCCGTCGCCTTTTGGACCCCTTCGGCGACCATTGTGCAGCTCCGGGGGCGCGGGTGTCCGCTGGAGCGTGCGGCCGCACGCGTTTGCAGAGAAGCTGGAGCCAGAGTCACCTCCAACACACGCCTTGCGGACTTGAACCGTCAAGTTGACCGGGTCGACGATAGGCGGCTGGAGGTCGTGGCCCATGGCCTCCCACTGTGGGGGGGCCAGCAACTTGCAGTAGACACAGCCCTTGTCTCGCCCTTGTCAGGCCAGGGCCAGCCCGTTCGGCGCGGGGGTCGAGTCGCTGGTGCTGCCCTCGCCGTGGCACGCCGTCGCAAAGAGCGGGCCTACCCAGAGCTCGTGCGGGCGCACCGATGCCGGTTGGTCGTGCTTGCACTCGAGGTTGGCGGGCGGTGGAGTGATGAGGCCGCCTCCTTCATCCGGTCCTTGGCCCGCGCCCGGGCACTTGAAGCGCCAGCTCGGCTGCGCCCCAGTGTTGTCGGCGCTCTTGTTGCCAGGTGGTCGGCCCCATGCAGCCATGACAGCCTTTGCTTCGTCCCTTCTCACGCAAATGTTTTCGTCCAACCTGCAGGAGGCCTGTCGCCGTTTCAGTTCGCCCTCTCCACACGTGCCGGCACCGAAGCTCTCGCACACGCTCTCCAGGCCGCCACGGAGGCAGATCCTGATGCCACAATCCTGTCCGTGGATGGGGTCGGGGCTTTTGACACCGTCAGCCGCCTTGGGTGCTGACCCAATAGAGTGCTGGCATGAGTGGGTCGCCTTGTTCACCGCCTTCTGCCTGGTTGATCGCGCGCGGCCGACCTGCAGCATCATGCCACACAAACCGAGAGGGTGCCGCGTAAAACTGCCGCACGAAAGGGAGACAGGCGCTAGCACCGGGCAGCCCTGAAAGAACTCCAGCGCCACCTTCGCCCAGGGAGCTCGTGTTTGCCTAAGTCGATGACATTTATGTCATCGTCCCCTCAGCCCGGGCCCTGTGTGTCCCAGCACCTGTTCCGGCATGCGCGCATCGAAGCCCACCAGGGCAATTGGAACGCCGCCGGGCTCGAGCCGCCAGGGGCTCCACTGACGCCCCGGTGTGGGTCGGTGACCCGGCCTTGCCGCCCGAGCAATAGGGGCTCGTTGCACTTGGGGTTCCCTGTGGCCATCCTGCATATGTTGCTGCCCAGTTGCAAGCCACACGCGCCCGACCTTCAGTCCGCATGGTTGCTGCTTCTGTTTTGTGCTTCACCGCGCTGCTGTCACCTTCTGCGGTCCTTGCCACCTGTGGCTTCGCTCGCCTTTGCGGAAGCCCATGACGCGGCTGTCGCCGCCTGCCTTGCGGATTTGTTGGGGGCCGGCCCGCTCCCGGACCACGCGCTCCGCCTTGCCCAGCTCCCTTTCCAGCAAGGTGGCCTCAACCTGCGGTCTGCGGTCGCCCTCGCTCCGGCCGCTTATTGGGCCTCGTGGGCCGACACTGTGCTGCACCGCCAGCTCCCGCGCTTCTAGGCTCTTGCATCGGCTCTTTCTAGGCCGGTTTACGGACATGCCCCTCTTTTGATATACCGCCGTCGCACAAGCATCCATTTTGCAGTGGATAGCAGCCACTTTCGCCTAGATTGCGTTGCGCTCTGACCTTGAGGGTAGCCTTGTCGCATTTTGCAGCATACCACTGCGTCTAGATCTCACATATTGTTTTTTGTGCATTAGTGCCGGCCTTCGCGGGCTGCAGCCTTGCAACTCTAGAGCTTGCAATCTAAATGATTGTCACTTTGGCAAACCCGTCTTATATGCCTTGCATGCACAGCAGTGTTTGCGCGTGACTGCGGCCTCTTGTAGTGGCCAAATTTGTGGCCTTGCCTTCTTTTGCCTTGGTGATTCATTTCTTGTGGCATACATAGTGAGCCTTGCAGCCGTGCTATGCATTGTCTTTGCCCACCTGTGAGGGCCAGGCGCTCTGCAGCAATGACCGTACTGCTTGCCTCGCCCGTGAGCGCACTCGGGGCTCGTAAGCGCAGTTGTCTGAGTCTTAGCACAGCGTGCAAACTCAGAAGCCTGGCGCCGCGTGTCTGGCAACTCCAGAGGCCCCGCGGGCCCGAAGTTCAGGGCCGCAGCCCTAGGCGCCTGCGGCCATTGTCGGCAGAGTACGCAGGACGCGCTTTGTATCTTGCCAGGACTGACATACCTTCCGTTCGTTTCACGCCCCTTAGGTAATACACCTAACGTAGGGGTATGACTACAGGCTCCGCATAGGGTGCAGGCAGCACGGATTGGACACGCTTTGTCAATCCACCTGCACCCTCGAGCCTGCACCTTTGAGCAACGCCATACAAAAAGGAGCTGAGCGATCGATTCGATTGTTGGCCCTTGTTTTGTTGCATGTTCTTCCCTTTGGCCTGAAGCAGTGAGCAGGATTCTAACACAGCTCGCAAACGGCTTTTGAGTTCACGTGGTGTCTTTCTTGCGCGAAACTATTTCGCAACTGCCCTTTGACTTTGCATGTTTGGCGGCGGTGGCCTGACAGACGCTTTGTGCAGCAACCCTTGGCGGCCATGGCGCGGTTCAGAGAAACATGCATAGCACGGTTACACTTGTGCAATTGTTTGGACAGTTCATGCATGTTCACTTCTTTTTCTATCACGGGATGTGAAACAAAAACAAGGCATGTTTGTTTTGCAAAGGGGTTGGTCGACAAGAAGCCACGCACGCAACTTCGGACCATCAGAGGGCAGGACTATTGGAATGCATGACTGCGTCATGGTTCCCGCAGCATGCGCGCCGCGCATCAGCAGTGGTGCTGGCGCGCCTCAATTGCAGGATGTGCTCGTGAATTGGACGGCTGTTTGCGAACACGGTTTGGCTGAAATGTCCGATCGCTACTGACTGAGGATTGGCTTTGCGCTGGCCACCTTGGCATGTGTGGCCAAGGCAGGACCAGATTGCTGCCTGTACTTCTGCGGGGAAGCGTCGAAACTGCATAACTGAGCAGGCCAGTGTCACGAGGAATCAGTCCGTGGAACCCGCAGCTCGCAGTCCAACAGCCCTCGCCACCTTCCGCTTCGTTCTCCTTCAAGCGCCATGACAAAGCAGCTCCGAGGCAGCGCTTTCTCCGCCTGCGCCGTGTTGGCGGCCTTCACCGTTGCTGGCTGGGCCTTTGTGTCGCCCCGGGTGTCAATGCGACAGCCACAGCTGAACAGGGAACTGGTGCAGCGCCAGTTCTTCGGGAACAAGCCAGCGCAGCCAGCCGTGGAGGAGGAGACAGTCGGCGACAAGATCAAGGCGAGGGCGGGTTGGGGAGTGGGGTGGTGGTGGGTGGGGTTGACGTTATGTGGGGAAGCGAGCCTGAAGGGGTGAGTGCTGCAGCACAAGACGGGGCTTGTGCGGGTGCAGGAGAAGGGCGGATGTTGAAATGACACGACTTTGTGTTGTTTGAACATGGGAGCCCCCCAAGAAACGTGGAATATGATCTCCTTTTGCACCCAAATCAAACGGGAGCTGAACTATATAAACTGAAGTATGTGCCTTGCAGACCTATGCTTGCACCTGCGGGAACGTGCAAAACATGCATACGATAGCAGGCAGCTAAAACCTTTACTGAATGAATGATCTTGATGCATGTGCATGCTACAGGACCGCGGCAGACATTCCCGGAATCAATCTAAGCGTGTTGGAAACTAGCAGAGCTCCGAGCAAACCTACAAGATTCATTGGTCAGCCTTGCTCGGCGCATTGGAAGTGTTTAAACGCCACCGAAAGAAAGAAACAGACACGCGCGTGCTTTACACTTAGCCACGGTCCTTTCTCAAGGCTTTTTGTCTGGTTCAGTTTGCGGGATCATTGATGAATGGCGGCACCGCGCCGTGCTTCCGTTTGGTTCCCAGAACAACAACAGCACCCGACAAAACCCGAGTCGCTTGGTACACAAATGCTTGTTGAAGACTTGCGGGGAATCTGCCAAAGGAATCCATGAGTCATTCATGTCGGACCTTTTTCTTAGGAACCTCTTCCTGCTGGGTTCCTATCCCCCCCCAAGAAAGCGCCGGACGCCGGCTTCGCTGGCCTCCGCTCCGGCCGCCGGGAGGCCTTCTGGGCGGACGAGCGCACGCAGAAGTTCATCGCCTTCGGGGGGTTGGCCTCCACGGCGCTGGACATGCTGGGCCTCCTGGGCGGAGAGGCCGGGATGGTGGGTGGCGGGGAAGGGGGGGAAGGGGGGGATGCGGGTGGGGGGGGGTGGGGGGTTGGGTGTTTTGGGGGTGGGGGAAGGAGATGTACTAGAGCATGATGAGCGTGTGGCAAGCAAGCGGGTGTCACCCTGGTCTAAAAATGTTGGGGTGTGTGTAAACCAGCCTGGAGAGGGTACCACGGACCAACACGCCACAAAGCCTGGAGGGTACCAGTTGGGTTTGTGTCAATATGCTTCAGAGGGTGGGCCGATCGTCAACCAATAAGCCAAGGATTCATACACAGGGTTCAGATATGCTGGCTTTTGGAGGAGGGGGAGACGTCTTATTAATCTTGAAGGCATCGAGGGTTCTTTTGCTGGACACTCTTGCGGTCTGCGTAGAGAACTTTCTTGCCCAGAGCACCTGCACAGCATTTGCTCGCGGACATTTGCGCAGAAACCTTGCCCAGAAACTCGCAAAGAAAGACTGATAAATTTGCTCTGAGCACCTGGCTCAGAGAGACTCGCTTCTAAAGTAAAGTATCAGCTATTTTCAGGCGGGATTCGGGATTGCGACCCAGTGGAAAGCAGGTCGACGTGCAAAAAAAACTGGAGTCTTTTCATCAACTTTTTTGCGGTGTGTGCTTCGGGCTGGTCGGGCTTCAAAGACACGCGCGCGGGGACCCCTCTGTCCACTGGCAACGAAGCTTGGACAGAGAAACTTGCTCTGAGAAAGTTGCTCCCGAACTTGCTCCTAGAAATTTGCTCAATCAAAGAAGCTCAGAGAATCGGTTGACAGTCAACCCTCGTGTTTGTAGATAGGATAGGCCACCTAGGACAGAGGGATAACTTTCTGTTGAGGAGCGTTTCATTATTTTCCAGACGTTGTCCTCGTTGGAGTGTTAGACGGTCTACTATCACCCACCTGCACGAGGGAAATCGTGCTGGGAATGATTCCACCAGGTTGCTGGCTGAAGGTTGTGAGCTTTGCTTCAAGCTGAGTGCACAAAGCATGGATGTGTCAGTTCTGTTGGAAGTCTCCCCAAACTCCGTCCCATGTCCTCGGACCCCCCGTCCCCCCCAAAAAGCAAAACAACAAAACAACAACACAAAACACAAGCAGCAAAGCAACAAACAAACAGAACAGCCCAGCTTTCTTGGATGGCACGGTCAGGCGGGCGTGGGCGCGAGCCTCTCGGAGGCGTTCGCCACCTTCGACGCGGGCGCCGCCTTGTCCGAGGGCAGCTCCACGGCCGAGGCCCTGGCCGACGCAGCGCAGTCCGCGGATTTCTCCTCCGCCTCCGAGTCCATCGGTGAGTTCGGGGCCAACTGAGGCCGCAGCGTCCATTTGTCGCGACTTGGAGCACTTTCTGGGCAACCACGAGGTGTTTTGCTTAAAGAACTAGTCATGGCCAGGCCATTTTTTGTGGTTGAAGAATCACCATTTGCCCAGAGGGCCTGCTAAGCAGGAAAACGAGGCACTCCAAGAGCGGAAGCGAGGGATGGAGCTGGGCATTTTCCACCAAGCCGGCTTGTTCCATTGGAAGGCCATGGCTGGTGCAGGCCGCTTGTGCAATGCTGTACGTTGTGCATGGGCCAACCGTTTCGAAGCCAACACAACTCCCCTGGTTCAGCCGGCATTTTCGGGTTGCGTCGCTGGCATGGGCGTGCCGAAACGGCACGCCGCAAAGCTGGTGCTCTGGAGATTGGGGAAGTTGAGCAAGCTGAAATTTGAATGGAGCCACAGTGTCCAGAGCACCGGTGAAACCTTTTGATTGCTGAGAAGCATGGAAAAAGCAGTCAGCTTCTGAGAGGGGAGATGCTGTTGGGGGCAAAGGCAGTGATACTGAGGCATGGCAAATGAGGAGCTTAGGTTCATGCAGGTTGGATTTGGCATGATCTTGCAGCATGTCAACAGTGCCAAGAAGCTGCACACATGAAAACCAGCTGCTTGCGTTGATTCCTCACGCTGACGCACCGCACGCGCAAGCGGGATTCGCCCCCACACCTACCTTTGTCCACGTTGCCAGGTGCGATCTCGACGAGGCAAGAACCAGTTTTGTGCTCATCTTGGCAGCTCCAAGACTTGGGCCCTCTTTGGATGGCAACAAATTGGGCCAAAAGGCCACCAGAAAAGAGGAGCAACTGGGTGCCTGAGCCTGGTGAGCTCCGATTGCGCGTGCATGGAAGCATCATAGCCGGTTCGGAGGGTGCGACTGGTTCCGAGCTTTTGGGACTAGCGGGAGCCAAGGAGCTTGGACTTTTTGGGTGCAAGTGAGGAAACAGGGCCTGCGATTTCTGGCGGGCGCGGCGTGTGCCCAAAAAGCCCATTGGCCACTTTTGGCAAGGTTTTTGTTTTTTGGCACCGCTACCCAGTTTTATTCATAGGCAGTTTTGCGAGGCTTGTAAAATACTTTTCTAGTTATTTTGGTGGAACAGAAGTCAACAGGTTTTGTGTCCCCCGTTGCTCACTGGCAAGTTTGGCACAGGAGATGACAGCGAGGAGGACGAGGAGGAGGAGGAGGAGCGTTTCGGTGCCACGGAACCAAAACAAGGGGGGAGTCACTCATTTTCCCACAGGCACAAGGACTCACTCTTCCCGCAGCAACAAGGGCGACGACAAAAGATAGGACGCACCCAGAGTCCTACAAAAAGGGGAACGCATTTATTTCAGATTTTTCCTCTCCGGTCTGCTGCCATTGCATATTGTGCTTGGCCACCTGTTCCTCCGCTGTTGGGAGTGGGGGGGAGCACAATACGGTTAATATGTGGAGCCCTTCCAACAACTCAATCACGGTTCCCATTATCCAAAGCCATGAGCCACGGGAAGATCATGAATAACTCTTGAAATGGTCCTTTGTGGGCCTTTGGTGGCCCTTGGTTGGGTCTCCATGGCCCCATGGCGTTGAAACAGTGCGTGACATGAGCAGCGCATATTTTAAGCGTTGCTCCAGGACATACCTTGGGCACTTGCGGAGCCTCCGCGCACGGGGCCGAGATGTTGGTTTGGGGGGGACTGGAAGTGGCAGAACGGTGCTTGTGGATGATGCTTACAAGGCACGTGGCACGTGGTTTCTGTTTTGCAGCGGGTGGTCTGCGTCCACTTGCACGAGATCATAGTGTGCTTTGCGTGGGGTATCAATAGAGGTTTGTTTTTGTTTTTCAGTGCGCGCCGGTTTGTGTACAACAGCAGTGACAGCTTCAATATGGCTGGCCGACTGCAATTATTGTTTGGAGGCTCACTGGCACCATGTCGTTAATCGTCATTTTGCGTTTCCTCCCAGTCAGGGCATCAGGCACACACACACACACACCCAGGAATGCACTTGCGAGGAGGGGAGAGGGTGAGAAAGCGAGTCTGAGAAACGTATGTGTGTGTGTACAAAGAAGTACACACACACACATCTATCAATATATATAGATATATATGTATATATGTATATATGCATATATGTATATATGTATATATGTGTATATGTATGTATCACCCCCAGGGACCTACCCTAGGACCTTTGGTCCGCTCCAGTTCACACCTAGGACTGCAACCAAGCATCTCCCAACTAACACACACACACACAACACACAAACAAAGAAACAACCACAAACGCACACACACACACACAGAGACAAAAACGCTCACACACACAAACACAAAGAAGCAACAAAATAGATAGGAAGATAAATGCGCGAAATGGACAAATGAATTCATGAAAGTTAACCCTTCAAAACTACAAAGCAACAAATTAAGCAAGCAAACACATACACAAGCAACCAAACAAGCACACAAAGACACAAGGTAAACAAGCAATCGTACAAACAACTAAGCAAGCAAACAAAAACAAGCGCACACAGCCAGAAGCCAAGAAACAAACAAACAAACAACACAAACACACAGTCAAGCAACCAAGCAACCAAGCAACCAATCAATCAAACACACGCAAGCAAACAACCAAACAAGCAAACAACCAAGCAAACGACCAAGCAAACAACCACCAAGCAAGCAAACAAGCAAACGAGCAACCAAGCACACAAACGGGAAGCACACAAGCAGGCGAGCAAGCAAGCAAGCAAGCAAGCAACCAAACAAACAAACAAACAAACAAACAACCAAACAGACAAACAAACATCCAGCCAAGCAACCAACGAAGCAAAGAAACAAGTGCAGAAATAGTCAAGAAAACAAGTAAGCAAACAAACAAACAAGCAAATAGGAGCAAACAAGCAAACAAGCAAGCAAGCAAGCAAGAAAGCAAGCAAGCAAACGAACACACAAGCAACCAACCAAAAAAAAAAACAAACAAACAAACAAACACAACAGACCAATCAATAAATCAACAGACAGACAGGCAGAAAAACAAACAAACAAACAAACAAACACAACAGACCAATCAATAAATCAACAGACAGACAGGCAGACGGAGAAACAAAGAAAAACCAAAAAAACAGACAAACAAAGCAAACAGCAGCAACACAAACAAAACAACACAAAACAGAACAACACAAAACAGAACCCCAAAAATCAATCCACACCAAGCCAAGCCAAACCAAACCAAAGCAAACCAATCCAAACCAAACCAAACCAAACCAAACCAAACCAGCCAAAACCAAACAAAACCAAACCAAACCAAACCAAACTAAACCAAACCAGCCAAAACCAAACAACACCAAACCAAACCAAACCAAACCAGCCAAAACCAAACAAAACCAAACAAAACCAAACAACACAACCAGACAAACCACGAAGCAAACAAACAAGGCAAACACGCAAGCAATCAAGCAAACAATCAAGAACACAAACAAACAAACGCACAACCAACCAACTAAGCAAACAACCACACAAACAACCAACCGCACAACCAACCAACCCACCAAGCCGGCAAACAAACAAATAAAGAAACAAGCAAGCAAGCAAACAAACCAAACAACCAAACAAGCAAACACACAAACAAGCAAGCAAACAAACAAGCCCGCGCTTCAAGCAAGCAAGCAAGCGAGCAAGCAAATTTGCAAACAATCCAAACACACAACCAACGAGTCAAACTGCCCAACCAGACAGACAAACAACCAAACAAGCAAGCAAACAAACGGGCAAGGAAGGAAACAAAGCACGAAAGAAAAGCAAACAGACAAACAAACGAACAAACAACAAATGAACGATCTTTCAAACAAGCCCAGCAAACAACTACAACAACACAAAGCAACCAACCAACCAACCAACCAAGCAAGCAAGCAAGCAATTAACCAACCAAGCAAGCAACCAAGCAACCAACCAAGCAACCAACCAAGCAAGCAAGCAAGCAAGCAAGCAAGCAAGCAACCAAGCAACCAACCAAGCAACCAACCAACCAAGCAAGCAACCAACCAACCAAGCAAGCAAGCAACAAACAAACAAACAAACAGACAAACACGCACGCACACACAAACGCAGGAACGCGCAAAGCTGAACAATTGTTGACACTTGCAGCTGGGTAAGCTTCGGGACTGCCTTGCAGGCGCTGCAGATTCGTATGCCTGCTGGCGGGAGGGGATGGGGCCTGGGATGTTCCGCCAGGTGCTGGTCCTGAAGAGGTTGTGCGCTGGGGGCGATGAGCGGGTGGGTGCAACCCTCAACCCTTGTTTCCCCTCAATCAAGCTTCAGGCAGTGGATGTGGCTTTGCCCTGCGCAAAAGGTAGGTGTGCGCAAAGACTTCATTTTCTGGGGTATTGTGGGCGCGAGAGCGTTGACAGCCTTGTCTCATTGCAGAACGTCCAACACATAGCCCTTCTAGGCCAGGCAATCTGGGGCCAACACTTGGTCAGCAGGCCTTGCGGCCGCACGAGGTTCCTGCAAGGTAAGGGCTTTCTTTAAGGAAGAGGACATTTATTGACCTGGTTAGAGTCCTTTTAGTAAAGCACCAGCTGCTGAGTCACATAAGTGGCAGTGGGTTTGAGGAGTTGTCATGCTCCAGAAGCTGAGGCCGAGGCTTCGGTACAGCTTGCGCTTAAAGCTGTGCTTTCTTGCATCTACACGTGTTTGGCCCCAACTGGAAAGACAATCAAATACACGCCGTTGCTTGTTCGGCAGGGAATTGTTGCCATTTATCACCCAGCAGCGGACTGCAATTACGACAGCCGTCGCGCAAGGGGAACTTTTGTCTGGTGGCAAATCCGCGCCATACTTCTTTTGAGACTGTGGCGTTGCCTCGACCTTTTTCTTCGCCCGCTGGCTCGTTTCAGGATCAGCTCCTTGCCTCAGGCAAAACAGGCAATTTGCAGTTGCAACAAACTGGCAGACAGGCAGAGCTACATCTGCTGTCATGGCTTGGGTTGTTCATCCATAGCAATTTAGCGCGATTGGAGCAAAGTAGACCTAGGTTGGAAACCTTCGCTGCTTCAGGTCAGTATGACACAACAGCTGCGTGTCCAGCCGCCATCCCGCATCGACAAGCTCGTTCACGTTCAACCACCTTCAGAGTGAAATGTCACGGTTTCAACGAATCCAACCACCTTGCTGTCGCCAATGTGAGGGCCAAACTGCCAGAGGGCAAGCCGAGCGCATCGCCCGGATGCTCCGGGCGCCGGGGCTGAATGCCTTGCTGGGCCGGGCAGCCAAGGTGCCTGTTCGACCAAATCCACGCCTCAAGGGTGATCAACCCTTCGGCATTTGGGGTTGTCTTTCATTGGGGAACCCGCTTAAAAAAGAAGAAGAACAAACTATCCGTCAGCTGGCATTT